TGGAGGGGTGGGAGTGTGGGGGGGCTTGTCAAGGGGTGTTGGGGGTATGTGGGTTTGGGGTTTGTGGGGAATCTGTGTGGGGAGTGCCGGGTTTGTGGGGAGGTGGGGTTTGTATGGATATGGGGGGGTTGGACACCCACCACATGCTCCCTCTCTTCCCCCCCGACCTCCACCCCATGGTGGCAGCAGCAGCAGGTGGTAGGCCCTCGGGGCTCTTATGGCCTGCAGCAGGAACAGTCCCTGGAAGCATGTGGCTACAGCTGAGTCCCAGGGGCTGCATGTGGTGACACGGAACCAGTCTAGCCTGGCCTGGCCCACCAGTGTATGCCTTCAAGCTAGACCAGGCTGGCTCTGTGCCAGCACATGAGGCTCCCGGCACTGCAGCCAGAGCTCTCCCTAAGGGTGTGCAGGGCCAGGGGGTGAAAGTGGCAACCACCCACAGAAGCTCGCACGAGAGGAGGGAGTGATGACCGCCCACAGGAGGTGGTGGTGGCGGTGGGGCCTGTAAGGCACTGTCTGTGGGACCCCCCAAAATGTGGGGCCTGGGGTGCTTGTCCCAATTCACCCCTTCCCACCCCTCGGATGACCCTGACTGCAGCCAAGAGCGTGTACCACCAGGCCGGGCTGGTTCTATGCCTCCCAGTGCAGCTCCCTGATGGAGTGCTGGAAGGCCCATGTGGAGGCAAGGAGCTAGCCTAACTCAGCCCGATGGCACCCCACATAGTGGCATGGAGCCAGCCCAGTCTGGTGCAAAGGTGCACGCCAGCAGGCCGGGCCATTTCTGTGCCACTATGTGCAGCCCCCAGAACTCAGCTGGAATTGAGGTTTTTTTTCTTTGCTTCCTCTGTAAAGACAGGTGAGTGTGGGGGTGATATTAGTGTTCTTCTTCCCTGCCTATCCATATTTTCTGAATCTAGTTCTAGAAATTCTTTAGGAAAAGGACACAGCAGGGTGAGGAGGAACAACGTCTCTACCTGGCAGTGGACTAAATTTCCTTTTTCTAATCTACTGGTTCTTTTAAGTATACTCACAAATTACTACTGGGTAAAAAGCTAACCTGTTTTTCCCCTTTCATTTTTGTTACTCTTATTACATGATTTAAGAGGCACATTGTTTTTGGTATTAACATTCAAAGCTGCAGAACGCAATAAAAGTTACAACTTATGTAGGCAGCAGAGCTAGGGAGGAGTGTAGGTGACTGATTCTCTATATCTTTCTGATTGAAATGCCAGACTTAATTATTTATTTTGATAAGTGACCTGGCTGCTGTGCTGGTCCAAATTGCAAATCTAGCAGTTTAAATTTGGATAACAATTACAGTAACACACAGTGCTTCATAATTATTAATTATAGATTGTAGGATCATCTCAGATTGTTTTGGCTGTTTATGAATTCTGTGTCTCTTCAAGCCGAATACAGGCATTGTATTATGTCATGCAGTATTTAAGTTTGCAAATTGATACTGAAATCAAACTTGTGATTTTGTCCAGCTCCCAAAATTCCAGCTACCATCGGAACCTGGAAATAGATGTTGCTTTGGATACTTCCAGTCCTATCGCTAATCGCTTGATGAATGTGGATGCTACTTGATGGACAAAACAATACATAGAAACAAGTTTGTAAGGGTTAATGCTTAAGCTAGCTTCTAAAAATACTATTGTGGGTTGATGTCACAATAAGTCAAGTCACAGTATACTTTAATTTCAGGCTGAAAGTGCTTACTGGAAGAAAGGAGATGGCGGAGGAATAAAAATATGTAGGAAACATGTGACTTATTGGAAGCCTGGACTGAGCTGGGGGAGGGAATGATAGAAAAAGCAGGTGTTTACCTCTCTAATATATGTAGATTGAACAGAACAGGTAGATTTCTGTGGCTGTAGAGTGACAGTCTGACTTGGAACAATTATATAACTTTTAACCTTGTTCCAGTGTCCTGTGTGAGTTCTACTGCAGTTTGGCAACCTGCCATTATTTGTCTTTGAACAGCTTACATAAATAGATCCTGGAGGGTCATGTGAAACTATCATGAGCTTTTAAAAACTACACACTAGTTACCTTTTCTTTGCTGCCTGCATTGCAGGTGTGGTTTTGTTTATGGAAGTCTGTGACTTTACTGGAGTGACTGTGTTGCAGTGGGTTTTAATACCCTAAGGAGATCTCTGTGGCATGCCTCCTGTGAGAAAAACATGGTGGGGGGGAGGGAACAAACCTGTGGAAGAGACAGGAAGGTGGTTTTGATATGGAAGTTTAGAATTGCTCTACACTTGATAATTGAAACCTCTACTTCTAAAGACACTGAAAAAACGTGTAACTGGACCTTAGAATCCATGAGCTAGCTTTCCTACGGCAACGTAGTGATCACATATGTCTGCACATGATTGCCAGCTATGCTGCCGTAGCAGTGTGTTCCTGGGAATAGCGTGCCACTACAGCACCGTAGTGTGCATGACACAGCAACCACCCATACTGCGTCGTGCTTTAGTACTTCCAGAAGGAAGTACCAGAGCACAGCATCATAGAAATGTCACCATACGGTAACGTGTAGATGCACTATGCCCACTGTACCACAGCCTGAAGTAAGGTCCATTTAGTGATGTAGGGGGAATGCAAAGGCAAAAGACTCTCATCTTATAGGTACTGCATTCTTGCAAACACAGCATTATTATACTTGTTGTAGATGGTTTAAAGTGTGTGTAGAGGGGTTGTGGGAGGGAGTGGAAGAGGAGGCAGAGATTTGGGACAATGAAAACACCATTGCCTGGTAGCAAGATAAAATAGCTTCTGGTATAACTGACTTTCCTTACTGAGTTGGATTTGCCATGGTAGGTTAAGCACACTACTGTGGTTGTGTGGGGAACTGACTCATACCCTGTGAACTTGACTTGTGGCATGAGAATTGAAACTAGCACCCTTACGATGATGAAGGACTTAATCTTTATAATCCTGTCACATTTCAAGCTGCCAAATGAAAACTAAATATATAAGACTGTTGGGGTGGAATGCCATAGATTTTCAAGTTCCATACTGAAGAAAAGTATTCCGTTTTATTCTGTGTCGTTTAACTCTTTAATCCTTGCTGGATCCTCTGTGAGGAGTAGGGGATTCATGTTCCTAGCATAGAGTCTTTCAACAATTTCTAGCTTCTTGGATCTGCTCCTATCTTCAGAGGCCTCACAAAGATATTGTGCTAAGCTTAACAGGGAATAGCCACTTCATCTAACACACCTCTTAGTCTCCTAAAAGATCAGCTTCCAGTAGAGTTCAATCTACTTTCTCTGTGTAACCAGTACAGTCTAAGGGTGCTTCTTTGTGATCCCAGGTGGGGAGGTGGAGGGCATTTTAATTAGAGTGGCTCTCAGTAGCAGCTCTAATTAAAATGCCTGCAGTGTCTCATGTAGTCAGCATCCTGCATTTCAAAATGGCATTGGGGCGTTTTTGGTGTACCTGGCAGTGGGTGTTTTCAGCAAGCTTTAGTTAAAGTGCCCCCGTTGCCATTTTGAAACATGGGACACTGAATACGTGAGATGCTGCAGCACACTGGAGCGTTCTGATTAGAACGCATCCGAGCACTTGAAAAAGTGCCCTAAATGCTTTGATTTAGTTGTCTTCTAGCAGTTTGATTTCATCTGCCATACAAGAAAAGCAGGGAGAACTATGCCACTTTTTTTCAAACACTGGTGCCTATGTATGTTTTATGCACTATAGCTTGAAATAGCAGGGGACTGAGGTGGATGGCCTATAAAATCCATTTCTGCCTATGTAGCTATTTGGCTAGCTATAAAATGAGGGCAAAATGATAAGATTAAAATACCTTGAAAGAAGGGTAAGTATGATTGCATGTCAACATGGTTTTAGGATGTGATTGAAAAAAGACTTTGAGCTTAAGTTCTAGCTTGAGTAAGACAGTAAGTGTCAGAACAGATTCATACTTCCTTTAAATTCTGACCTTTCTTTTAAAAAAGGACCTGGCAGTTCTAGTATCCTCCTGTTATCTTGGTCTTTGGTAGGGTGGGGTTTGGAAAGAACTACAAGAAGCTGTTGTGGTATTTTTGACCCTGCAAAAGGAAGTGTTAAAACTTTTCAGGTCTGATGTTGTGAGATGTCCTGAGCAAAGTAGTTTTGATTGACATGTAGATTTCTAGTGAATGTCTAAACTAAACCAATGTTACTCCTTAGCGAGTCTACTGAATCCCTTTCCATTCATTTTGTTCTGGCTAATTAGCTATAAATCCTTTAACTGTAATCCCTGGAATTACAGAAAAACAACCTCCTGACTCTCCTGAGAACTGTATAGCATACCATGTGAAGAATGCTTGACCAGAAGAAAAATCTTATTAGCATCAATTTCCCAGTTTCAGTTGGGAAAGTGACTGAGACTGGAGCCAAAAGTGTAAGGTTTTGATGTCTTATGTCTTATTTAATCACTGCTGCAGACTCCACAAGTCCACATTACTTTGCCTTTGTTTAACTTACAATTTTGAAGATATGGTGACTAGTTCTTCACAACTTGCTTTGACTTTGCAGTAAGTTTGATTTTTTGGCGAACCCAAAACATGTTTTAATCCAATTTTTTTTCCTGCTGTTTGTGTGTTTGTTTTTTTAATTATTTTTAGGACAATGTAGATCAGACTTCAACTCATGCTCGACGAGACTTGGTGGAACCAGGATTCCAAGAACCTTCTAATCGCATCTCCCTGAATCACCAAGGTAAGAGGTGTTGTGGAGCTTAGGCTTGCCCAGTGAGATGGCTGAGGACTTGGCACAGTGAATATTTAATAATTTGACGGTTGTGCCTCTTTCTCCACTCTTCATGTGAATGTTGAAGAATTGTTTGTAACATTTTTGTAAACTCCTTTGAGTTGCATCGCAAACTGAAGTGCTCCTCTTGTCATATTTCCAATCCAGTTTGGTGAAAAACTCAAAGCAGTTACAGGTGGGGTTTCTTGAGTTTTTTGGTTTTTATGAGTGCCTAATAATGTTAACATATCCAACACTTGAAATATAGTTTTAAAGTGCTTGTTTTTACTTGCCACAGTCTAGTTCTGGATAGTATTTCTGTTGTGATCATCAATTTATCTAATGTAGGGAAGGGGTCTGCATTTTTACCTGAATTTCTTGTTGTTTATTAACTCTCAAGGAAGAACTCTGAACTCATGTCTCACTACCTAAGCCAAAGTGTAATATTACACCAGTTAGTTATTTCTTAATGTGGTTCTTGAGTTCAGCTCTAGTTTGGGACTTATTAGGCACAATCATTCCCTTAAAAATCCTGGATTCATTGAACTCCTAACATAGATGCTATGTATCCTAGAAGGAATTAAAAGCCTTATAGGAAGGAAAGAACTTAAATTCCACAGGACTCTTCTATAATAGGACCCATGTATTAACTATGAAGGGGGCTACTTTGAGGGTTAAGCACTCACTGCTCCTTACCACTTTTTAAAGTTTACTGCCTCATTCTTCAGAAATCTACTTTAGAGTATCATTTACATAAAATATCAGTTCACCTTGATAGTGTCCACATAAGGCTAGTGAAAGAGAACTCGGTGGCTAAAAGACTCCATTAAAAAGGTACACATTACAATGTTTGTAATTACTTGTTCTGTTTATTTGTTGGGATCAGCAAGGTTTGAGTTCTATGGTTTTGCAAATCCCTTGAGTTACTTAAATTGGCAAAAGTGCCCAAAACCAAAGTTGTTTATAATTTGAACTTTTTTCTTTTTTAAGGTCCCTAAACTTTTTCTAAAGACTATACAGTGGGAGTAGTGTGTTACTTGAAGGTGCCACAAATCAATATCCCGCGCTCTTTGTTCTACTTCATATTTCTGATACCTACATGAAGATATGGGTGGATGACACATTCCACTTTCCATGCCCCTTGGGCTAATCACCTGCACTAATCACATCTCCCTTCTGACATCCAATGCTCTTGACAGATTTTATATAAATGATGATCTTTGAAACTAATGGTAGACTTAATTAGGTTTCAAGCCTTCTAACAAAATGTAGAATTGCATCCAACAGACACTAGGCCCTTAGGTTTACGTCACTGAATTAGACTATGAAATCTGTTGCTGTTGATTTACTGCTTATTAGGGCTAGAAGTAAGATCTTGATTATATTGAAGAGCTGGAAAGCATTGTCTGTTTGCATCCATCATTTTCTTCCCCTCCCCCTCTGCCCACACTTTCCGATTGCTGTGATGTTAATTTAAAGCAAATTTTCAGAACTCTCAATGCTACTGGGATGCCGTTATAAATACCAAAGGAAAAAAAATCCTTCTCTTGTCCTGCCTAATAATGTAGCCACCTTTTATTACACTACTGGTAATTGACAAAATCTATCTGTACATAGAAGAGCAATATCACTCCTGCAGAGCAGATGTTTTAACCTTTTGAGGTACTTCTTTGCATGAATTTTCAAAATGAGGTGTTCTGTACATGAGGCAGCTTCAGGCATTAAGTGGTTAAACAAAATTATTCACTGTTTCTGCTCCATGGTATCTGAAAGGATCCTTTTTGGGGGTGGGGAGGGTTGGTATATGTAAGCTCTATTCAGCTATCTTGAAACTATGTTTGTACCTTGAATATTTCTTCATGATGCTCCTGCAAACCAAAGATTTTGATCTCTGGGTATGCTCAGTAATTCCAGCTGTCTTCTCTTACTTGTTACTAACAATACATACATGAAGACTTATATGGCACCTGGGGCACCTATATACATGTTCAATGTCTGCTCCGATGTGTGCTAATTAGTATATGTTGGAGCAGACTTGATTAATCAAGCAGACTCAATCAGCACACTGCAGCAGTCTCTGCATCATGTATTCGGTGTCCCCGCACTTCAAAATGATGGTGGGGGCACTTTTACTAAAGCTTGCTTGATGTACAGGTGACGCTATGGGTGTTTTTAATTAGAGCAGCTCTTGGAGCCACTCTAAAGCACCGCCACCCTGGAGCATGTATAAAGACTCTCCTGATGTCTATCTCTGCCTGAGCTACTTCGAGACAAATGTTCACATGCAGTCTCATCCAAAATAACAGATGTTTTTAAATTAGAATATTTTCCAAAACATTTGTGGTAGTTTGTTCTAAGGAATTCTTAAAGAGCAAGGTAAAGCTTTGTGTATTTTATGTACATATAAAAAAAACCTTTTTTATACAGTACTAACCATAAGTTTATCTTGTTAAACTTCATGAATTGTGTTTATTCTGCATTGTTTGAACAGGAGCAGTCAAGTCAAAGATGTAACAAAAAAACTAGAAGTGGCTTTATAATTGTCATTATTTTGCAACTTCTTGCTTGCCAAAATGGACATGCATCTTACTATTTGTATGGGTGGCGTGGTTAAAGCAAAGGATGAGGAATCGGAAGGGTCAGAGTTCTGCTGCTTTTGACATTTTAATTGCTGTATCTTTCCCACACAGGAATAATGCTTAATGCTCCTCCCATATTGTTGTGAAAACGTACCATGACTTAGCACTTATGGTCATTTACATTTTGTTTTTTTTCTCAGCCTAATAACACTATTCTAATTTGTGAAAAGAGCACTCTTACACACTGACTTAAAAGCAAAAGTATGTTAGCATTGAGCAACTGCTGCATTTTCAGAGATGATTGCAACTAGTTTAGTTGCTTATGAGAAGCCAATTTAGAAGGTCTTCAGAGGAAGGTGAAGCTTGGGTCTAAAACAGGCCAAGGTGGTGACTTGCGTAGATCACCCAATTAAAAAAAAACGAACAAAAAAAATCATAGTACACTATTAATAGTCTTAAACCTAATTGTCTTGTACTTCATTTGCTTCCAGTGCCTGGTTTGTGTTGAATCAGAAAGTATGAGTTGTAGCAAAATTTAAATATTGTCTGAAAGTGCTGTGGAGCATGTGCAAGCAATAATGTGTACTGATGAGTCCAGCGTTGCTCAAGTTGGGTGGTTCGTTTTGATTTCAGTTGTAAAGTGATGCCAAGTAGCATACCCTTGGCCCTTACTCCTGTGTGCTAAGCTTTCTCGGGGGGGAGGACGGGGAAGCTGTCCCATAATGTTCTGTCACATCCTTACCTGGAGGAGAAGTTTTTAAGGCAGTTGGGCTGAATAGAACTACTTTATCTAGTTTTGTCTTGTGTATCCTGTGATGTGCTACAACTGAATTTTCAGCATCGGTTCATTTTTTCTGGCTGTTACATTGTAGAGCTTCCACCGTTGGAAGCCTTTAAGGGAAGGTTAGACAAACAGCCTGCTGGGATGATTTAGACAAGAAAGATCTTGCCTTGAGAAGAGATTGAGACAAAATGACCTCCTAAACCCTTGTCCAGCCCTTTCTTTGATTTTTTTTTTTTTTTTTTTGTATGTACACTTACATGTCAGATTTGACCACTAAATTCAGAAAATACCATTAAGTTACCATCCTTACTTAAATTTGTGTTCATCCCTTGTTTAAGTGAAAAATGTTGGTACAATAGCTTTCAGCTCTAGATTGTATCTTCGTTGCTTTGCTTGTAAAAACGGTACTTAGATTTCTCTCCAGGAATCTGAACCTCCTTAGACATTTTTAAGCAAGTAGAGCATTGTATAAGGGTAGAGAACCCTGGTCCCAGTCTCCTCACGGCAGATGAAACCCTGCAGTATGGAGGAATTTAAGTACTTGTATGTTGACCTGTGAACACGTTGCAGAGCATCCTCTTCAGTTTGTACAAAGCGGTAGGAATCAGAGTATGTTCTTGCAAGTGAACTGTTTTTTATATAAATTAATGTTAAATGTTCGTTATAAAAACAGTATTTATTCCTTTATGTAGTCTCATAGTTGTTCTGAGTCACATCCTTCTTGAACATGAACCATGTCATTACTGGCTTTCCCCCAACTACTAGAGGGATCATCATGAAGGTACATTTTTCAGATGAGAGGCACTTTTCCTTTATCTCTAAAAGGGTGCCCAGGATAGTTTAGATAGTGTGATGGGCTAGCTGGCAGTGGCTTAGCCCAGGGGTTTTGGAAGGGCAAAAGATGATTGGAGGACTTGGGATTCCCTTTCCTCACCAATCAGACCCCAGAGACTCACCCTCCGTGTCCCCTGATTGGCCCCTTGGGTCACCTGGAGGGGGATAAAAGGGGCAGCATGGCTGACTCGGGGGAAACCAGCGAGGGACCACAAGGAAGGAGCTTCAAAGAGCTGGGCTAGCGGGGTGGGAGCAGTTGCCTCAGAAGAGCATGAAGGAGTGGGACCTGCAGGCAGCAGTTGGACCCTCTGGGCCATTGTGTTCCCCCCTTTCTCCCCCTCCAGGTACCTAGGTCCTATACCTAGGTCATTTGACATTTTGTATTTTGTGCCTCTTATATTGCACCAACCAGTATTGTTTGTTTTGCTGTTTGTGTTTTTACATTTTGGTTAACCCTTTCTTTGTCAACTGGATGAATGTCTATGATTATACGTGTCTAACCTTTATTGAATCCTGCCCCCTCGGGGCATTGTATCATCCCGTATACCCCCTGGTTTATACTGGTTATGTTCCCAGTATTGTTCTCTCATTAAAAGGTATATGGTTAAGTCCCCATTGGTGGTCTGGCTCTGCTCTATAGGGGGAAGAGAGTCCCTACACCTTTTACAGCGCTTGTACACCTGCTTTGATCCCTTCAGTTGGAGAGGGGGTACCTCTTGGAGTACCGCCCAGGTTACAATAGTAAAAATTTCCACCTACAGAAGCTTTCTAAA